GTGGAAAAGTGGTGCTCTGTGGCTAGGCGGTCCATGTATAGGACCATGTGGGGACTGCCTGTGCTGGACTGGGGGAGGGCGGCTTGAGCGAGGCGGAGAAGGCCTCCTGCGGCCCCGTTGTGAATCCTGTGAGCTGGGATACGGATGGAAGTTATCCTCGTGCTGCATCCACGGTCCATGTGGCCGTTCTCTGCGTTCACCCATGAACGAGGGCCTCTTGGGGTATGGCTGGGGTCCACTGCTGTTGTTATCTCTCCAACTTGGAGGGGCTTTTCCAGGAGGTCCTCTAAAACCTCTCTGGCTTCTTGAAGGGGGGCCAAATCGCCCTTCATGATTCATGCTGCTGTAGTTGACCGAGAAAGGCCTGTATTAAAAACAAATTTAAATTTTGAGCCGCTGACCACTATGCAGACACATCAGAATTAAATATTATATCTACAGCATTGTAGTACCTGTGTTTGGAACGAGGAGATCCTGAGTGTTGTCTCACCATTTTTCAGCTTTTAAACCTATCTTAAGTGAAATAAAAAAATGGCATGAAATGTTACTCTTCCACAATAATGACAGAACAGGACTGACATAAAAACAGCAAAATAAAAAGGAAAACAGAAAGAAACACTTTGAATGAAACGTCTAAAATCTTAAAGTAAAAGTACGACTCGCAGTGCAATGCCAACTAGTTCCGGTATTGTTCTTTGCATAACAAATCTAGGAAATAAAAAAGAAAGCCAAGCGATCCATATCAGCATTTGTCATTCATGCAAATCTTAAATAATGCTCAAAAATTACATGCTACACTCTATCCCAGAGCCATTTTAATGTGTTTTATTAAAATTGTCTTTTTTAATTTAGAAAATATATTTTAAAACCCTTTTAACAAATACTAGTAAAGCATGCGGCTGTCCAACCTGATCAATGGGTTTATATCGAGATCATCACACGCCAAACTACAAGGAATCGATATAAAACCACAGAACGCGTTTTAATCCCACGATACTTTGCCCTGTCAGTCGTGTTGCAGGGACAAATAATCAAATGAACACTCAAAATGCAATGTTTTATTTGTTTCACATTGCATTGTTTTGATTGTTTCACACATCGTGCTGAAATAAAGGATCGTCCTTTATTTAATTATGTGGAAATTAAGCAAATTAAGACGAGGTCGACGACACCACATTCCTGGCCTAACGTTACATGAACGCGTGTTTGAGGGCCGACAAGGCCTCGAGTTTCACATTCAGAAGACTAATTCGAAACAAACACGATAACACGTTTCATTCATAATATTACACGTGTAATATACAACTAAAGTTTTAAAACAACAGATGAAATATTAAGTTGAATACAAAAGCACATCGCAATTTATACAAACAGCGTCTTCCGCTTTCACCGTCAATGCGAAACTACAACAAAGCGAAAACATTTTTTAAATACAGTCTAAATAACATCATGCAACAGTATTAGTTACCACTTTTGCTTAAGTTTATATATCTATATGTTTAATTTCGACAAAGTTGACCGGCTGAGTTGTTCTGACATACCCAAGATAGTCCGATACGAAAACAGATACCCAAATCTAGCTCATCAGCAAGCGCTTAGCCGTGATAGCTAGCTAACAACCGTCTTCCGTTATACGACGTTCCACGTCTGACCGAAGATGAACCGTATATGCTTTCAAATATATATATAAAAAAAAAAACCGTCACTTTCGTAGTTACATCAAAGTCGCTCCGTCGAAAAATACGCGTTGTCTGTGAAATACCATTCAGACGAACCGAACAGCTGCAGCCGTGGTGACGTCACCGGGGCGGAACTGGCTGCGCCCATGTTGTTGCTTTGCTTTGTTAGTATTTTGTATCATTTTGTCAACCTATTATTTATTATATTCATCCATTCAAAGATAATGGTTAAACGGGAAGGATAAAAATATCACATTGAAGTTAAAACAGTACAAAAAGACATGGTGATCAGCAGTGTTGGGGGTAACTCATTACAAGTAATGCGAGTTACGTAATCAGATTACTTTTTTCAAGTAACTAGTAAAGTAACGCATTACTTTTTTATAACTTTAGAGAAACTAACAATTGTGCTTTGTTTTTTTATTGCTGAAGAGTGTTTCTTCTTCTGCGTTCAGACGTGAATTTACTTTTGCTTCAGCCTGAGGTTTATTCATTACACTTTTTGGTGTGAAAGGGCTTTTATATGTGCTATAAATAGAACTTCTTATATTAAAAACAATCAAGCCCTGCTTAAATTTAAAAAATAACGCAAAAGTAATATAATGCATAACTTTCCATAAAAAGTAACTAAGTAACGTAATTAGTTACTTTTTTAGGGAGTAACGCAATATTGTAATGCAGTACTTTTAAAAGTAACTTTCCCCAACACTGGTGATCACTGATCACAACCTGAGAAAGACATTTGTCACTCACTGCTCAAGACTGAAACCACAATGACATAAAAAAAGAGACATTTGTCAAGCGAAACCACTTTTTTACATAAGAAAAAAAATATTTTCTCTTTGTTATCCCAGACCAACACATAAAATAAGCTACTTGGTTAAAATAATACATGCCCATTCCACTTGTCGTTGGCCTAGAGGTTATTATTTGACTACACAGACTGTGGTAAGTATATGTGGTATGAAGATGTACTGTTATAGGATACTAGAATGATGTGAACTGAATTTAGTGAGTGAAAATGAAATTCACATTTCTCTCTTGTTCCTTGTATACTGCATAATTTAAAAGTTAAGTTCACCAAATAAGAAAAATCTGTCATCATTTACTCACTTTCATGTAATTTCAAACCTGTATGACTTTTGTTAATATTTGAAACACAAATTAAGATATTTATAATGAAACTTAAGTTTTCTGTAGTTGTATGAAAGTTCCCGCATCCAATGTTTTGAACATCCCAAAAGGTCATTAAATAATTACCTAACAAATCCATATCAGTCGAACTGTTTAATGTTCCCCATTTGTGGATGAGGTGAACCATAAAAATACAGAAGTTCTTGATAAAAATAGAATAAGCTTCAGTTCATTGGGTTACATTTTTAGACATTGTTCTTTTGACTTTGTCTTTCGACTTTTCATTACTCTTGCCCTTTATCTCTCACTCTTTCCATAAATGACACGAGAACGGGATCAGTTAAATGATGTGTTGCTTGTGTAGTCAAAAAGAGATGTGTTTGCATACAGTGTGTTTGCAACAGATGTGAGATGCTGATGATCAGAATTTCCCTGCGGCTAATCATTTGCTTAACAAGCTTTTGTCTTCTAACCAAGAGCTCCACATATAGTCAATTGCCTCAATAACTGTGCCTGGCCTTTGTAAGTTACTGAGGGGGAAATGGCAAGAAGTTATGAAGCAAGTCAGTCAACTGTATATGCAGTAGAGCCAATTGATTCGGCAGCAGTTACATTTAAGAACTGTCTGGAGCTGGACTGACATCAACAAAGACCATTGCATTAAGGTAGGAAATTGACAGATAATACATTTTTATGTTGTGGCTCTTTAAATCATGAGTTATACATAACTTAAAAATATAACTAAGAGTATTATTTATATATATATATATATATAGAGAGAGAGAGAGAGAGAGAGAGAGATGAATATTATAAAGAATATTCAATATTCATTTTATTACTTTTACAAAAAAATAAAAAAGATTACACTGTTTCTTTCTAATACTTTAATTATTTTTAATACTTGTCTTCAGTACCTATATGACAATGTTAAATTTCTTTTTCCATAATCAGAATATTTATTCTAATTCCTTACATTCAAATTTGAATCGCAATTCTGTGTTCTGTTTGCTTTAAATTTAGCAACTGTATTTGAAAATAATTTTCAGTTCAGTTCTAAGTGGTACACAACCCGGCTAAGGAATGAATAAAATGGTACTAGTGGAGTTAAAAAAAATTGTTATTTTGGTTGCAATTTCATCAAATTCTGTTTGTAAATGTTCTGTTTGTAAAGTACTATTCATACTTTATTTGAAAGTTATACACTGTAAAAGATTGTGATTTTAACAGTAAAAGAGTGTAAAAATGCTACAGTAAAAACCTGTTAACTGGTTAACAGTAAGTTTCCATACTATATTCGGTGAATAAATGTAATTACATTTAATGTAATTTTACAGTAAAATACTGTTAAAAATACATTTTTGGAAGTGAAAAAGAAAAAGTAATTGTCTAATTTACAGTGAAAAACCGTAAATTGACACTCCCAGAATTCCCTGCATGACGCTTCATATTTTATGTTTTTTTTGTTGTTGAAATAAAATGTTTTTTCTTAGTTTTTTCTTATCAGTTGTGTACATTAGGGTTTAATCTTAAATCTTACAAATTAATGTTTATTGTATTATTTCAGTATTATGTATGTCACCATGATGGGGTTTAGTGTTTGTGTGAATGACACTGTGCACCTTCTATATAAAAGTATTGCCCTCCTCAGCTCGTAGAAAAGCTGTTTGTGATGAGCTTTGGTTCATCATGTGACTTTCTCATCACCACCAGCTTTTGGTGGTTATCAGTGCATTACAATGGTTCAAAACAGATATTAACACTTCAATATGTTGGTTTATTAACATTACATCAGTTAATGAAATACGGTATTTTATTGTGAATTTAAGTTAAGTCTGTAAAACCTAAAATGTTGCTACCATATTTTTTATGGTGAAGTTCTGGCAACCACAGCTGCCGGTATTTTACCGTAAATGTCACAGATTTTCTTTTACAGTGTAGGGAAGTGAAAAAAGGAGGTGTCAGCAGGCGTCAAAGTGAGCGTTCGACCGTTTTACCATCTGCTCCAACATGACACAAATTTACACTCATAATCATTCAAGAGGAAACATAGATGTCATCATTCTCAAGATGTTTGATGTGGAGATTGTGTAAACATTCAGATATTTTAACATCGATCATGTGAAACCAGTCAAAGGATGATGCATCACTCTCATGTGGTTTATTTCTGTTTGTGACCTCACATCTGACCGCTTAATGCGATTAAGTAATCACTGTAAACGCAGTGACTAGGGGAGAACTTGCTCTGTTGATCTGTCTATCTGTCTTTGGTGAGCGTGGCTGGGTGTTTGTAAGCCGTGTGTCTTGTATGGCTGCGCAACAGTTGGCCTTATGAATTATTTGTGTGGCACAATTGCATCTCATTTTACAGCTCTATTATATGTGATCTCTCTGCTCTCACCTCCCACCGGCCTTCCCATTGTGCATCTCTAATAGAGCATGCAATCCCGTGCTCTGCTTCCATATCTGACCCCTGACCTTCAGGGTCCCCGCCTCTACTGTCTAGACCAGGCTAACTCCATCAAACCTACTCGATCTCACTGTCCGCTGCTCTTTCTCTCCCATCACTTCCCGTATTTCAACTTTCTGTTTCCTGTATTCCCATTTTCTCCTTCCCTAAACCATTCTTCTTGTTTTCTGTCTCTCTCCTTCCATTCGTCCTATATTTAAACATGCCATAATTCTCTGTTTGGATTGCATTGCTTCTACAACATCCATCATATTTCACTATAACACTTGATATTTCCTTCCTTATCTCCTTGCTTTCCCTGTTTCTGTTCTTCCTTGTACATAGTCTCTCTTCTTTCTCTCTCTCTCTCTCTCTCTCTCATCCCCTCTCGCTTTCTCCTCGCTTCATTCCCCCTTTTCTTACCTCACCTCCTCCTCTCTTCACTTGTTGCCGTTCTCATAACGCAGCCCCGGACCTTTACGTGAACACACGCTCTTTAATCTTGCTCTCCACCCTCAGCAGGATGCTTAATCTGCGGGCGGCACAGAACCAGTTTACCCATGAAGTGCGAGAGCCAGGGCTGTATGTCTGGAGGGTTGAGAAGATGAGGGCCGTGCTCCTTGAACCATCACAGAGGGGAATCTTCTACAATGGGGATGCATATATTGTGCTCAGCAACCGTGGAAAAGATGGAAGTGACCTACACATGTGGATGGGTGTGTAGCATCTGTTGCACATGCATGCACATGTATGCATGTATATAAATCATGTAGAATGAATGAAAATGCATCTGATGCTGCTTATATACAGCATTGTTAAAATATGCACTGTTAAAATATTTTATTTAATATTTAAATTAAGTAAAAATCTAAAAGATTTTGCATTTTCTCTTACTGTTGGCTTTCCTTCCCTGATCAAGGTGAGAAGTCGTCCCGGGATGAGCAGGGTGCTTGTGCCATGCTTGCCACTCAACTGGACAGCTTCTTGGGAGGAGAGCCAGTACAACACCGACAGGTGCAAGGATATGAGTCACCTGAGTTCATGGGACTCTTCCCTAAAGGAGTCAGCTACAAGGTGAGAGTAAGGGACAGCAGTAGAACAAAAACAACAAATCAGTGAAAAATAATGTAATATTGTATTCAACAAGTGTGCATCACATTTACATTTACATTTATTCATTTGGCAGATGCTTTTGTCCAAAGCTACTTACATTTGAGGAAAATATTAAGCAAAATAAGAGCATAGATAAAGTGAAAGAAATATAATTTTTTTTTAGGAGACAGTTAGATGTTCAAAGAAGAGATGAGTTTTTAGTTGTTTCTTGAAACTTGTAAAGGATTCAGCTGTCCGGATGGAGCATTAAACTGATCAACATTTCTATTTCAATAAATACTGTTCTTTTTAAACTTTCTATTCATCAAAGAACTGTATACTAAATCAGCATACTAGAATGATTTCTGAGGGATCATGTGACACTGAAGACTGGAGTCATGGCTGCTGAAAAATTCAGCTTTGCTGTCAAAGGAATACATTTCATTTAAAAAACTATATATTTAAATATTGTAATAATATTTCACAACTTTGCTGTTTTTATTCTGATTTTGATCAATTAAATGCAGACTTGGTGAGCATAAGAGACTTTCAAAAACCTTCCAAAAAGCTTTACAGACCCCAGACTTTTGATCGGTAGAGTAGGTGCAAAGAACGTTCCTCTATGAAATTACGGAATTACTAGTTTCTCTATCTGTCTCAGGAGGGTGGGGTGGATTCTGGGTTTAAGAGTGCCAGGTCCAGGATTGGTCCTGTTACACATCTCTACCAAGTCAAAGGAAAGAAAAACATCCGTGCAAGAGAGGTGGAGCTTAGCTGGGGGAGCTTCAACAAGGGCGACTGTTTTATACTGGACCTTGGAGAGGTGTGTATGTCAAAAAAGTTATTTTTGTAATGTTGTCTGTCATTGTGCTGCTATGGTGTTTTAGTTGGATAAACATGGCCAGTCATTTGGTGTCATCATGCAAATGCACATATGTTTATGTTCAGACTGTAGTCGCATGGAGCGGTTCCAAAGCCAATATGTTTGAGCGTCAGAAGGTGCGTGAGATAGCAATGCTGATCAGAGACACTGAAAGGAATGGGAAAGCTCACATCATCGATGTGACAGAGGGAGAGGAACCACTGGAGATGGTTCAGGTGACAAACACCAAAGACCACATAATAAGAAATTCATTTGAATTTAAAATCAGTTTTTCATTTAAATTTTGCATAACATAATTAAATTATATATATGTGACCCTGGACCACAAAACCAGTCATAAGGGTTCATTTTTCAAAATTGAGATTTATACATCATCAGAAAACTGAATAAATACGCTTTCCATTGATGTATGGTTTGTTAGGATAGGACAATATTTGGCTGAGATACAACTATTTGAAAATCTGGAATCTGAGGGTGCAAAAAAATCAAAATATTGAGAACAGATACACTCTATATATATATATATTTATATATATATATATATATATATATATATATATATATATATATCTATCTACTGGTAGTGGACACCACAGTAATTGTATCAATAAGTTTATCCATATATAGATTAGAAATGATAACACCATCTCTATTTTTGCTTAAAAGGCACTTGGTTCAATCCCAGCTCTGAAGGACAGCTCAACAGAGGAAGACACTGAAGCAGACATCATTAATTCTGCTTCCCTTTACAAGGTCAGCTCGCTCTCCTTTACAGTGTATTTTGCAGGTATCAAAAATACCTAACCTTTTTTTGTTTTGGTTAATCAAACTGTTTGTCTATCTATAAATCAAATCAAACAAAACCAGTTCCAAGTATGTTATAGGGAAAATAATAGTTCACGTTATTGTAATTCTCTCTCTCAGGTGTCTAATGCGACATGCCAAATGACCTTGACAAAACTGTGTGACAAAGGCCCTTTCAGTCAAGAGCTGCTGGAGAAAGATGACTGCTTCATCCTGGACAATGGATCTAGTGGGAAGATTTACATTTGGAAAGGTGATTGTGTATATTTGTTCAAGTTTGTGTGTGTAGTAAATCAAACTTTTTTTCGTTTATTGACTTTCTTCTTTGATACACAGGTAATGGAGCCAATGCAGAGGAGAAGACAGTTGCTCTGAAGGTGGCAGATGAGTTTATTACAGAAATGAACTATCCCAGGATGAGAACACAGGTACAACAACAGGCAGCTCACGGTTTCGTTTTTATTTCTGTGCAGAACTGTCTGCTCTTTTAACAAATTTCTTTGTGACCTTAGGTGGAAATTCTCCCTCAGGGACGTGAATCGGTCCTCTTCAAACAGTTCTTCAAGAGCTGGAGTTAAACACACACCAACATATAGGATGTACTGTATGTAGAAAATGATACTCATTTTGTATAATCACACAGCATACTAGCTTAGCTTATCTGTTGCAACTCTTTGCTATTAGCCAAAACATGCTTGTTTGATCCCAGGTATTGTGAAGACTGGGATGGTTGACATTTTTATTCAGGAACTGCCTATTTAATAAATATAAATACATTTGTGAATTGTTGATTCTGTCACATGCATAATGCTTTGCATTACTATAAAATACCTGTACACAACCCAGTGGTCTGTTAATTTGAGGTGTTCAAATACTTATGCAATGACATGATGTCTGTTAACCTTGTATATTGAGCCTCATATTAGACCGATATCAAATATATGGACAAAAAGACACCATATACAGTCCCAATGCTTATGCAACCACTATGAGTAATACATAAATGGCCTTCAATATGATCGTCTTTTATCTTAGAGATACGCACCAAGATAAAGGATGAGCCATATATTAACCTAAAACTGAAACCTCCGCCAACCAAGGACTTAACTAATAAAAGCTGAAGCAAAATATGGCCCAATTACATTCTTAATCAGACATTCTTCCATTATATTTTTTCAATTATGTTTAAAAATGGCTCTACAAAAAGGTTAGGAGCATTATGGACTCCTTAAAGAATCAATGAGCATAGTAAACTCTCATGACTATTTCTTAACTGTTCTCACTAAGTCGATTTATCTTACAGACATGTTTTGGGAAATAGATCTAGTTGATCTGAGTAACATTTTACTGCCTAAATCATCAATTAAAAATTAAACGACATATCCTTTGAGTCACTTAATAACCTATTGTTCAATGAGGTGATTTCATTTCATTTCAAACAATATTTGCAGTTATCTTGAAATGCCAGTCATCCAGGTGTGGTGAGAAAAAATTGTAATATTATGATGATGAGCAATGAGCAATCAGTATGTCTGATTATAAATGCAAATTCAGCATGTATTTTTATCAGTTTACGTCATTATTTCAACTGAAACTGCAACTGCCTATAGGATATGAACAGTTTCACATGATTCATTTCTGGTCTTGGCTTAGTTTGAATGTCACAGTAGGTTTAAATAATATTGACAGAGATATTGATTTTAGTTTTATTCATTTACTTTTTAGTTTTGAAGTAGATCAGAAACTTGGGGAAAGCGTAATCAAATCTGTTGCTGCCTTTATTTATTTTTAAGTCAGTTTGCTCAAATTTAAATCAAACAGTCATGTTTGTATGTTGTCTGTTTTATATAAGTTATTTTGACTTTGAAATGAAAGATTACACCTTACAATAGCTTTTCAGCCCACATAAATTGATTACATAAGCTCATAATGCCAATGCCCTTATCACTGTTCTCCCCTTAGTTAACATAAGTTTACACGAAATGATAGGTGAGATATCATGTGTCAGTGACTAGGGTGGATTGAGGAGACAAAGTTCATTGTGTAGTCCACACAGATGACACTGCAGGAGAGTTTTTGGGTCCTTTTGCTCTGCTTCTGCCGGCGTGCAACACAAATCTCTGAGCTGGCCTGCTCCCGCAGTAGAAAAGGTGAGGGATGTAAGCCTCTCTATGTTCTATTTGATTTAAACATAGTGTTTTAATATTTAAAAAATGACAGAGAGGTTTTTTTTAAATTTCCCATTCAAATGGCCTTTGAATCAGTAAGTAAAAGCTTATATGCGCTTTCACCTACATTTGGGATTTATTCGTGTTGTCTTTTAAATTCTTAATCTTCCTAATCATTTGTAGTAGTAATTAGTATTTAAAAAAATGTGTGTAATTTATTTAAATTATAATCATAGTATATATTTAATTTAGTTAAATAAATGTATTTATAATATAGTAATATTATTAAATTATATGATAAATGACATTAAATATGCAATTATTAAGTTAAATTTAATTAAGTACTTGGAAGGTTTCAAACATTTGATGAGCTGACAGTTTGTGTTTTGTATAAGGCTGAGGCACTCAAAACAAAACTGGACTTTCAAACCAGCCAACATGAAGAGTATCCTGAAGGGCAAAAGTAAGTTTTAGAGACTATGATTTTAGCAACAACACCATAACAATTTAAAGTGTGTTTGAATGTTCAAAAACTAGCCTAGATATTATAGATGTTTGTTTTTGTCACAGAATATGAGGCGCCTGAGGCTGGTTTGAGTAACTCTATCGGCGCTGTACGCTGGAATCTTCCTGATGAAGGTCTTCAGGCTCACAGCTCAGTTCCTAGCAAGAGCAGTCAGAGTCCTAGACAAAAGGTAAACCAAAAGATAGATAGATAGATAGATAGATAGATAGATAGATATAGTTCAAAGTTTTTCCTAATTAATATATCACCTTTCTGATGTTATACAGGACTTGAAGGATCTCCGCAGCCTGCAGGAATGCGTTAAGTTTATCACTCAGTGGAAACAGGAGGTGGAACATGTCTGCAGGGTAATATGTAATGCTTTTTACAGACTAAAATGTATACATTTTAACTATCACCGCCCGTATAGGCACGAGGCTGGACATAATCACAGGCTTGCTGATGTTCAGACCAACTGTACGCGAGTGTGATATTACCGGATAGCACACGTATGTCTGCAAGATCTGCTAAAGATCTCTTGATCTGGAAAGCATCTGCTGTGTACAAACGTCTGACAGACTACTTTCAGATGTCAGTTTTACATACATTCTAAATCATATACATCTTAAAGGCGTCTATTTGACATCTGATAGGAAACGTCCAATAGATGTATATTGCAGACACTCTAAAAAAATACGTCTTGCAGACGTAAATGCAGACGTCAAGTAGACGTCTCCGTGATGTACGTGTGCTATCAGGATTTTATACACTGGTTCAATAAATAAGAAGTTAATAGTGGGTAACTTACATTTTAAACACAATATTGCCAGATCCTTTGTCTATTGTAGTTTCCAATAAAACCACAGCAGAATTATGCTGCGTTCCAGACAACTCGAAATTTTGATTTTTCCCATCTCCTACTTGGAAATAACATCTGGAATGCTGCTTTAAGTTGGAGATCCATCTTGTGAACTCGGGGCCGATCAATCAGCCCCAACTTTAGTGAAACGCCTCATTTGAGGTCACTGCTTCCAACGAGTGTGGAGCTGCCTTGTATCAAAACTTAAAAACTTCACACATTAGGTTGCTTTTCGTCAGCTGTTTTTAAAACGAACGGCAGCATTTTATCTGATTTTTTCCCCGTTTTTTTTTTGCCATAATTGACACAAAAACAAGAAATGCTCCCCTTGTGTCATGGCAACATCATGAGGTCAATATGTTAACCTGACGTGTGATTGACTGGAATTCACTGAGATTTGAAGTGGGACATTTCAACTTGGATGTTCCCACTTCCGATCTCGTCTGAAACACGACATATCAGCACAGCTGTGGCTTACCCAAATAAATTATTTGTTTGAACGGATTGGTTAAGTAAATGATTCAATACACTCTTAAAAATAAAGGTGCTTAAAAGGTTCTTCACAGCGATGCCATAGAAAGAATCTTTCTGTCAAAGGTTCTTTAAAGAACCATCTCTTTCTTACCTTTTTATAATCTGAAGAACCTTCTTTCACCACAAAGAACCTTTTGTGAAACAGAAACGTTCTTCAGATGTTAAAGGTTCTTTATGGAACCATTTAGACAAAAAGGTTCTTCTATGGCATCGTGAAGCACCTTTATTTTTAAGAGTGTAACTCACTTGATAAAGACAGTCACTGGTTTCGTTCCTGAATGAATCAGGGTGTTCTCAACAATCATTTGTCGTCACCTAGCCCACTGAGCAACGTTGAAAGCTACAGAAAGAGTCACGGAAAAATCCCCACCAAAAATGCGTCATAGAGATTTGGAACAACATCTGTCAAGCTTCTCTCAAAGTTATGGACAAACATTCTTCCAGTAATATAAATATGGTCTTTAATAATATTCTCAAAACATTAGCACAAAAACAGGATTTTTGCATTGTTCATGGAACATTTTATTTCTAAAACCTTTTAGTTGGAGAGTATACAAAAGTTCCATAAAAAATAAAAAAGTTCCACAAAAGTTCAGACATAAAAAGTCTGAAAGAGATCACCAACTACAAGACACCATCCCCCAGCACTGTGGAGAATCAACAACTGGCAGACGATCTGAATGAGTTCTACTGCAGGTTTGAAAAAACACCCCACACCCGCCCTGAACACCTCACCACACAACCATTCACACCTCCAGCAACCCCCCTCTCCCCCACACCTGCAATTCAGATCTGCGAAGACGAGGTGCGCCAGGTCTTCCGGAACCAGAAAAGGAAAAAAGCCTCTTCAGTTTGCCTACAGAGCAAACAGGTCTGTGGACGATGCAGTCAACATGGGACTGCATTATGTTCTGCAACATCTAGACAGACCAGGGACTTATGTGAGGATCCTGTTTGTGGACTTCAGCTCAGCCTTTAACACTATCATTCCAAACCTCCTCCTGCCCAAACTAACTCAGCTCTCCGTGCAGCAGCTAGTGAGGCTGGGAAAATACACACAAGCACCTGTATAATCAGCACTGGCGCCCCCCAGGGTTGTGTTCTCTCTCCACTGCTCTTCTCCCTCTACACCAACGACTGCACATCTAAAGACCCCTCTGTCAAGCTCCTGAAGTTTGCAGACGACACCACACTCATCGGCCTCATACAGGACCTCATACCTTTTAATGTTATTATAAAGGTTGCTTGGCAATATCTTGTACACAATAATGATTAATCACTTCAACAGAAGCCTCATATTCATGAATCATAAAGCTACTGATAAGACAGAATCAATTCCATGTCACCCTGTTATGACAGTTGCATTGTCCTGTTTTTGAAATGAAATACGCATGGGTGACAATCCAACACCCTTTGAGGGACTGAAGAGTGGGAATAAGGACTGTGGGATGTTGATGCATGCAGACAGTAATGGGTGTGTGTTTGTCTACACATAATGTTTAAAATATGTGATGTTTTATTAACAAATTTCGGGAGGAGCACACGCAGATAATTAACACGGCAAATCCATCATCAGTAATTTCACCATCTATCCAACCAGCACAAGAGAGAACCCCTATAAATAATCAAAGCAGTCTTACCTTCATTATCTCTAGTCTTTCAGCAATGGCACATCCAATCGCCGCAACATGTCAGAGATTGAATTATTCCCGGACGATAACTCCTTTGACACCATGGGTCCTCCGGCGTCTCCAGTCGCCGTTCAGCGCACCAGCGCTCCGCAGGACAACACAATCGAGCCCGCGGCTGCAACATGGGGCCGCCGGCCTTCCCGTGCCGCCGTCGCTCATACCTCCACACGCTGAGGCACGCCATCACCTTCGCCTTCCAGGCGTCAGCCACCTTCTTGAGCATCCTCCTACGCTTCAGCCCTCTCCTCCGCCCCAGCCGCGGAGAAATGGACCGTGACAGGATTACGTCAGGCGCTCATCAGCTCCGACGTCAATGTCCCACGCTGGTTGACCAAGGCGGATCTCCTCGCCCTCTATACTTCTCTTCAACCAGGGGTGCCTTCAAACTCCACTCCTCCGTCCAAAGGCCACGGATAAAGTGAGCCAGGGCCTCTATGTTCCTTACTCACGGGCCGAGCAAACCACCACTCCCTCGAGGACGGGCCTCTGGTCGTCAGGCCGCAGCAGAAGGCCTTCGGCAAGCCTGGGCCGCACCCCGGATGCCGCAGCCACCAGCCCCCAACCCCCTCCTCGATCCACCGAGCGTCAGCTCGCAACTCATCGCGGCAAAGTGCCAGCCTCACAAGCCGCCGCGTCAGCGTGAGCACCCCTCCGTTAGCGGCGCATATCTATCCACAGTCCTTTTCTTACCCCAATCCCAACCCCCTCCCCTACCCATGGCCTGCAGCCCCACTGTCCAACTCTAGCGTGAGCAGGCCTCCGCTAATGGCGCAGGCCCCGACGCCCGCCATTCCCCCTCTTTCTTCTGCTCCCGGAGCCGTCCCAAGCGTGAGCAGGCCTCCACAAGCGGTTCTGGTGGCTACCTTTCCACCTCCCCTTGCTCGCTCTTCCTTCTCACTTTCTTCTGCCACACCCCTACCCATCCCTCTCGCCTTGGAACCACCCCCCGTGGCCAGCAACATCAGGACGCAGATCTTGTCAGGTGCGGATGTAGATCTTTTTTCCCTTTTGTCACCAATTTCACCTCCGTTTGCAGATCGCCAAATCGACTGCGGCGGATTTTCTGTCACCCTAAAAAAACACAACTCATCACGTATCTTATCATTTGCCGAATTCATGATCGCTTTCTCCCATTACACAGAAGTCATTTGCACTGTTTTCCCTCACAGGAGACTCGAGCTCGGCGACTATCTCGCGATAGTCACCGAACTCGCGTTATCATACGGAGGCTCTCATTTTTACACGTACCACAAATTGTTTGCAGCTAAATGCACCATCCGAGTGGCCCAATGGAACCAATGTCCTTACTGGGGGGCTTTGGACACTGAACTCCACCATAGAGTGTTTTTAGGCTGCCGTAACAGCTCATGCGCGGCCTGCCGATGCATTGCCCACTCCACCATTACATGCCCTTTCATCAACCCATCTATTCCCCCCTGCCCCGAGCCATCTCAGCCCAAATCCACCAGCTACGTCCCGCGCCTCCTAGACATCTCAACCACCCCTTTCCCCCCCACTTCCACCTACCGCCGCCACTCAGCTTTCTTTGACAGCCAGGTCTGCATCAGCTTCAATATTGGCAGATGCTCAAGGCAGAGCTGCCATTTCATGCATGCTTGCAATTTTTGTGGCGGCGCTCATGACCGCTTGATATGCCCAGTTCAAAAAGCTGCAAATAAAAATGCTAAACAATACTTATCGACTCCTGTAAATGTTTTTCGTTTGTCTTCAGAATTGCTTCATCACCCTGACTCCCATTTCACAGATTATCTACTATCGGGTCTCTCACATGGCTTTCACCCTGGTGTCGGAAATCTCCCCTCCCAAAGCCTCATCTGCCCCAATCTCCAGTCCGCTCTTGCCGAACCCGAAACAGTCGATCTCCTAATTAAAAAAGAAACAGATGCAAACTTCATGATCGGCCCCTTTTCCGTCCCTCCCTTTAATGTTTTCCGTGTTAGCCCCATCGGTGTAGCTACCAAGAAATTCTCAGGTAAAAAAACGCCTCATAATCCATCTCTCATCCCCGCATAATTCCCTGTTCCCGAGCGTTAAACCCTTATTCTGCTCGAAGAATATTCTCTCCACTACCACGACATTGACCAAGCCATTACCCTGATCAAAAACGCGGGTCGCGGCGCTTGGCTGGCCAAAGTCGACATCACCTCTGCCTTTAAAGTGATGCCCATTCACCCAGATTTTTGGCATTTATACGGCATCCGCTGGCAGAATAAATTTTACTTTTCCATCCGCCTCACCTTCGGCTGCAGAAGCAGCCCTAAAATTTTCGACTTGTTGTCAGAGGCAATCTGCTGGATCCTCTCCAACAATTATGACGTACCTTACCTTGTCCATCTCTTAGAAGATTTCTTAATCATCTCGCTCCCCGACTCAATCCCAGCCGCACATCTCTTGACAACCCAAAAGGTTTTTGCAGAGCTCGAGATTCCCCTCGCCCAAGACAAAACCGCAGGCCCAAGTACTTCCATCGAATTTCTGGGTATCAATTTAGATTCTCAAAAATTCCAAGATTCTTAGATTCTTTCTACCCAAAGAAAAAATCGACAGGACGATTCTGGTAGCTTCCACTCTCTTAGCCAACCCAAGCTGCTCCAAAAGCGAGCTGCTATCCATTCTCGGCCACTTAAATTTCGCGATATGCATCAGGGCCCCCTTTTATCTCCTCTCTCTCGCGTCCTCCGCCCACACACTAGAGGATCGAATATCTCTAATTGACTCATGCTGCAATGAGCTCAGCTCATGGATATCCTTTCTCAAACAGTGGAACGTCCTATCCTTTTACAACAACCTGATTTCTTCTCCAGTCAATTTCCAATTATTTACTGATGTCGCCCCCTCCGTCGGTTTCGGAGCTGCTAGATTTACCACAGCCGCTAATGTCCTCAGCGCTATTCAAGCTATATCCTTTAATCGTTGCAGCCCTTTTGTGGGGTAAGGAGTGGTCCGCCACCAGCATCATTATCCACTGCGACAACGAGGCTACCGTGCACTGCATCAATAAAGGCTGTTCCCAATCACCCGCCCTAATGCCTTTGTTAAGACGCCTGATTTGGATCTTGGCTTGCGACCAATTCATCGTAACTGCAAAACACATTCCTGGGTCCAAAAACCAAATAGCTGACTCTCTCTCTCGCTTTGCCTTCCAGAAATTCAGAATGTTGTCACCAGAGGCGGATCCGCTCCTGACCCCAGTACCTCCCTATTCAGAACTGATATTCCCGTAAACCATCCACTGAGACCTCTCCTCGAAGCTTCCCTCAACTCTATTCTTCAAGCCATCTCCCCCAGGACCCTCCAGTCTTACCTAACAGCATAGAAATGCTTTAAAGCATTTCACTCTGCTTACAACCTTCCATTCCCCGACTTTTCCTTGCTCGCCATCACTTCATTCATCTCTCAACTCAACATCAACAAAAACCTACAAATCAGCTCCATTATAGATTATCTAAGCAGAATCCAATTTTTCCACAAACTCTTATACGGTTCACCCGCTCTATTAAAGGTTATCTAAGCGGAATCCAATTTTTTTTCCAAAAACTCTTATACGGTTCACCCTCACCTCAGATAGCCAATTCACAGACCTCCCTACTCATCAAAGGTATCCAAAGAGCCCATCACACCCGCCCAGACACCAGGCAACCCATAACCTTAAAAATATTGACTAAATGTATTTCCACCCTCCGCAGATGTTACCATTCCATTCACACCGCCCGCACACTTGACACCATGTTCATCCTGGCTTTCTTTGGTTTTCTCAGATGCTCTGAGCTCGCTATCACATCTAGCTTCAACCCAAACATCCACCCCACTATCTCTGATCTAGCGGTGCTGGATGACAAAACCATCTCTTACTTCACAAAGCAAAGTAAAACAAACCAGACCAAGAAAGGCCATTTCATTTTCATTTTCAACCTCCAATCACCCATACTACCATACCAAGCCCTCCTAGCCTTCATCCAGCTCAGGAAAGCACAGTCCAAACTCCCATCCACACAGCGGCCCAAAAAGGCCTCTCCCAGCAGCAGATACAAGCACTCGGTCGCTGGTCATCAGAAACTTTCAAGAGCTACATTCAATCGGACCGCTCCCACATTAAGGAAGCCCACTGAACCCTCATCGGCCGACCCATTTAATGTCAGTACATCCCCGTTCACTCAAACATCAGACCCACCATAGCTAACCCCTTTTAACATCACCTAATTCACTTATAATGGCCCATCCCCACTCCAGCCATCCCAGCAGCACCCCACTCCCGCAGGAGCCTTACCTAATTCCCTCACTGCCACTGCAGTGTCTGCTCCCGCAGGAGCCTTTTCTGTATTCCCCACTGCCGCAGCAGTGTCTGCTCCTGCAGGAGCCGTTATATGTATTTCCCCACTGCCGCAGCAGTGTCCGCTCCCGCAGGAGCCTTTTCTGTATTCCCCACTGCCGCAGCAGTGCCTGCTCCCGCAGGAGCTGTTATATATGTATTTCCCCACTGCCGCAGCAGTGTCCGCTCCCGCAGGAGCCTTTTCTGTATTCCCCACTGCCGCAGCAGTGCCTGCTCCCGCAGGAGCTGTTATAT